TGTCAGAAAAAGCTGCATTCTTAACATACCAAAAGGCGAAATAAAAAGGTTTAAAATCAACCTTTGGTCTTTTGTCACGCAACTTGGCTAGGACACATTTCGGGAAGATTTTGTTTTGTTTTGCTGTGTTTTTAATGAGGTTAATAGTTTTGTATGGCCTGTAAATAATAGACCATGGAAGCAGTATAATAAGGAATTAAACAGTCAATAAGGAACTAAAACACATTTGTAAAAATGTAAAACTGCAACATCTCAACCAAATGCAGACGACATGATTGGCTGGGGCCCTTGTGAACCAATCTGATGGATCACAGGGCCTTAAATATGTCCCGACATTTTTCCCAAACAAGTTTCTCTTCTTCTAAGTTATCATTGTACATGGTGTGATGACTTTGAGGCATCAATTAATATAAATTGGTAGCAGGTAAAGTATTAATTAAATATGACACTCTGATTATTTAAACCTTCTATTAAAGTTGATTATTCTGAGCATGTTGATAACCCGTTCTTCAAAAATGACTGATGACAGCAAGCTCTACTGACTCCCTCTAAGTCTACTATTTCCAGCTCTTCAGAACAGAAGGGATAAATGGAGTGAGAAGAACACGGGAACAAGTCTAATAGACAAACTGACTAATGTCAGACCCCAAGGTCAAAGCAAAGCAATTCATTTCTTAGCTTTCATCAACACAAGACATGATTTATCAATCTAAGACTAGGATTCCAAACATTATACATCTCAGTGATATGTTCGCTGCACTGTGTAACTTTTTGAACAATGACAGATTATATATTTCCTGCAAAAGTAGTGACATAAGGCAAAACTCATTGCATTTGTGAAAACACTTTGATTTTATGTACATATCATTAGCCATTATTATTGTGCATATCATTTGGGGGACAATACCATTTTAAACATCAGATATTGCTTGGAATTCTATGACCTTCATGGTTCAAAGTGAAAACATTCATTTCCCTCAAAATGCTATTCTTATTCTAACAGATTCATTTGTGGAGTCAGTCACCATGTAGTAATTATTAAAAGTAGTATCTACATGTTATTACAATGGAAATTATTATATTTGAAGGATTTCTACTTTCATACACTCAAAGCTACTCTTCAAGAGGAAATCACTACAAGAAAACCCATGGAAAAATACCTCAACATGATGAATGGAATTACACAAACAGAGATTTTGTCCAAGTTTCTCTCACACTTGTTACAACACTTAAGGAAATATTCCATAAGGCATGTCTATAGAAGCAGCTCTGAAATTATTTGCTAGAATAATATGAGGTAACTTGAAAGGTTTCTCAAAATAAAATTACATGTAAAGTACAGTCAATTGAGATTTTGAAACTTTGCATCCTACACATTTTATAGCACACTGCTATTTTCAATGAGCCAAATTAATTATCATTTTTCTCATTAGGTCACAATTTCAGGGAAATTTTATTGCTGAGTGGAGGAGGATAGTAAAAGCTGCTGTAGCTTTGACTGATGAGTCAGTTCACGTACTGCCAGGAAGTTGTGTGTGCGGCACACCTGGACACACATATCTTGGCGATTAGGAAATGCATTTATTTTGGCATGTCACAAAGGGGATGCAATCATAATTACCCTCCCTTGTAACTGAAAGCATTTTGGAACTGCATCTACCTACAAAATAAAAGAAATTGCACATCTGGACTCGATCCATATAATTGTACCATCTCTTCTTGGTATTCACCCCTAAGTACTTCCCAAAGAATTATTTGAATTTTAAAAATAAAATTCAGATTTGAAGATCTAAACTGATTATGAACATTACCAGGAAATGTCATTTAAAAATTTAAACCCTGCATTGCACAAAACCCTAAGTTACTGGGTTTGATAAATATATAATGCAATATTAGCCCTTATTGTATACTAAAAAGGATGCTTTGTGGACCTCTCATATTTTACTTTTGAGAAAATAAATGTGTCTGCTGAGCTTTACACAGAAATCTCTATGTAACAGTTGAACATCCTGGTACCCAGTGTGAGATGTGAGAGAACAAAATGGTACCAAAAGTTTCTTCAGTACTGAAGATTTACAGTGAACATGTTTTCATCACTTTCCTGGGGGCTGAGACACAGTACTTGGCACCCACATCTTAAAGGAGGAGTTTCTTTGGGCTCACAGTTGCTGAGGTTGCAGTTCATGGCTGTCAGGTTCAAATACAGAAACAGTCTGGTGGAAAGGCTGGTGTGGAGGGAATCTTCCCACATCATCGTGGTCAGGAAGCAGAGAGAGCTATGGCTGGAATCTGGTGGGAGATATTCCCTTCCAGATCATACTCTCAGTGACTTGTCTCTAACCAGGCTTCATCTTCTACCAACAAACCAGCTGCACTGCCCCTCACAGTCCAGTCACTTTTAAAGCCCACCTCTGAATGCACAGGGCCTTTGGGGCCATTGCTATCTAAACCACAACACTAGATTTCAGTGATATGCAGTGTTTTCTTATACTGCTTTCAAAAGCACTGAAGAAAAACAATAGCTTGAGATATTGAAACCCAGAAAACACTATTATGTGAATAACAGTTTACCTTGCTCTAAAACAAAGAACTAAAGGTAATAGTAGTACTAATCACCAAACACTTATATAGAGATTGAAAAGTGACAGGCAGTAATCTAAGTGCTTTATACATATTAACTCATCAACAAAGCTCCGTGAGGAACATGCTGTTGTTATTTCTAGTTTTTGAGACGAGAAAATTTCTTTGACATAAAAAAACAAATGGAAACAACCACACTGAATCACTATTTCTTAGTATTGGCATATATGGTAGATCATAGACATTAGTAGTTTATGAAACTGAGAAATGAAATTAAATTAAGGAAGAGAGGAGGGAGAAAGGGCATCTTTGACTAGCAAGCCATTCTGGGGAAATACATCAGAAATTCAAGTTGGAGTATCTTTAAACCATTGCATAGTTTAAAGATACACTTGGTATATACCACATTCATGTATACATGGCAAACAAGACTAGGTTTAAGCTTAAAAAACATTAAAACAAATGAATGATATAATATAAACTAAGAATTATATGCATACTACTGATATACATAATAAATATTATATTGTAGGTCTATTTACAAACCTACATTTGCCTTTTTGCCTTGAGAAATATTCTCTTACATGTGATTTTAGTAATTGGTCTCTTTAAAATGTTTTTAGATTTAGAAGGCACAGTCATAAACCATAGATATTTCATTCACATAATGGAAATTCAATAAATGTTTTATACAAAACCTAATAAGAGCTGTTTTTTCTCCGCATTGTCACTTGGGTACTAATTATTCTCAAAACCTAACAAGACAGGGCAACCTATTTATCTCTACAAATGGGTTTGCAGTCATAAGGTAGCTCATCATTTCCAAGTAATATTAGAACTAGTTCCTGGTAAATATGTGTTCTCTGCCTCCAATTCCAGTTATAAATATGACAATAGTGTTACAAATTGGTCATATTTCTTAATAGACTAGCTTTTTCCATGTTGAAATTACATATTGATTTGCATAGTGGTTGAGTCAGATACTATGAAACATCATTTTAACATCCATTGCTGGCTTGTATGTTCTATACTCTGACACCCCTCTTTACTAAGCCAGATCTAATCAGCTTCCTATCTCCCAATACACATGATGCCAAAATTTCTTAGTCCATCTTAATTCAAATTGTCAATGCATAGGCATATGTTCTGATGTACAGGCTGTTTAACACTGACTCACCTTTGTACCTGTTGTTCCTTTTCTTAGAAGTCAAACTCCCCCACCTCTCTCTCTCATATATTTATATTTATTTGGAGTATACTTATTAACTTATTCATTTAGGAATCTATGCAAGGAATAATGTGTCTAGATAAAGTTTTTTCTTCTTCTTTGCTAAAATGAGTCAATAGGCAATTGTGGTATCACTCATACTCCAAACATTGATTTGTGTATATATTTCAGTCATTGAAGAGACAATAAAACAATCAAAAATGATCATGTACATGAAGACCAGCCTACTTATGTACAATATGCCTAACAAAATAGTTGGAATATAGCAGCTGTTGAATAAAAGTGAGGTGAATTAAATAACTTTACAGTTTATATTTACATTATGCTTCTTAATTTTTCCTCTTTAGCACATTTTTATGTCATTTTTCTGTACAAAGGGAAATCTTACAAAAAATCATAACATGCACTAACAAAAAATTAAATCATTTCTCCTAAACTGTTTTAGAAACATGACAAATATATTATATATAAAAAACATTATGAAATCATCTAATTGTCACACTGTTATTTAGAAAGGATACATAAAAATAGGACTGGGGATATAACTTAATGGTAGAGTACTTCCCAAGCATGTATGAGACCCTGAATTCAATTCATCATGCAAAAAAAAAAAAAAAAAAGGAAGAGAGAGAAAAGGGAAGAAAGGAAGAAAGGAAGAAAGGAAGGAAGGAAGGAAGGGAAAGAGGAAGCAAAGAAGGGAGAGAGGGAGGGAATGTAAAAATAAAAATCATTCACCTGCACAAATTTACAAGCTTCTCTAAAATTCTGTAGTTATTTTCATAACTAATTTTCCACTAATTATATTGTTCTCTTTAATTGGACAGTTATAAAAAAAGTAATTATATTATTTGAAGTAGTCAACTTTTTGAGTTTAAGCTGTATTTATGAGTAACTGAGAATCCAAGTTTAGTTATATATTCCAGTGAAATAGGGTACTTAAAACACAAATTTATTCTTTACTACTTTCTAATGAAAAGGCAATTTAAGTACAGAATGTATAGCTGTTACATATGATTTACCCCAAAAATCAAGTAAATTTTATCTATGTAAGACAATAACAACAATGATGAGACTACGACGATGGTAAAGTTTACTGACCCACATGGAATTCCTTCTCCAAGTCTACTTTTTCAACTATACAGTCTTAAATTTTATTCCTCGTAAAACTTCAGAGTAAACAGGATCTACTTACCTTTCAGGGTTTTCTACTTCTTCAGTAACAAAATTAAGGTAAAACCTAAAACATATAAATGAATACTAAATATTAATATATTTTACCCCTGCAATCCAAAGTCTTACATTTTAAATATTTGAAATTGAATTCAAATTATGAGAACTTCATAACAATTACTTATTGTAAGATGAAATTATCCAACAATCAAAAACTCCTACAAACCATTTTTCTATTAAACCATATCTGTGGCGTGCCTATGAGGTGGCACGAGGTATATAAGTGGGGAAAATCCAAAGTCTTTCTGCACACAAGGAGCTCAGAGTTCATGGGAAGCAGCGTTGGAGCAGATACATAGTCATAGAGTAGAGCTAACCCAGCCTGGTCAAGGGCAAGGGGAATTTCTAGAGGGGGCATCTCCCAAATTAAGCTTCCAATAATACATAATATTTAGCTCTGGTGAGGTGCTGTGAAGTCATTCCAGGGGGAGCACAGCCCATTCCAGGGGAAGCACGGCAGCAGGGTACACCCAGGATAGGAGAACCTGTGCAGCATTCTACCTTAGGAGTGAGGAACAAGGACTAGGAAGAGTATTAAGTATAAGATGATCTTTGCCTCCTGAGTTCGAATTTTAGAGGTGGGACAAGCAAATCAAAACTCACAGGGCTATGTACATGTGACAGCAGTATTTCTCGGTTTACAGAACTGTTCTTGGTTTGCCACAAAGAAACACAGGGTACCAGTTAGAAGAAATACTGGTACAAATAATAATGTACAGTTAAAATTTACTAAGAAAATACATTTAAAATGTCCTACTGTAAAATAACAAATGTTTAAATAATGGATATGTTAATTCATTTGATTTTTATTATGTTGTATTAATAAGTCACAGCATCACTTTGCACACTGTAAATATGTACAACTGTAATTTGTGAATTTATAAATTAAAAATGAAAAGGTGGGAAACCTTCAATTCACACTTCTTCCTTTTAGATCAATGTTTTGTAATGTGCATCCAGGGACCTCAAATCCAAATTAGGAAGTCCCCGTTTCTCAGTTTTGTATATTTAGGTAGTTAACCTTATGCGTACTGTCAGTCACTACACTTAAATCAACAACTAAAGCATAGGGAAGTTTGAACATTTCTCAAGTCCACCCCATTTTGGGAGAGATTATATAACAAGAAATATTCTGGTCATGGAACAGTTCACTTTCAAGTTCTAGAGATCACAAATATCCTAACGTCAGGGTACGAGAAAAATCCAGATCTGTTTCCTGCACTCTGGGTCTCTACCAGTCCCATACAGGAATCCCCAGGGCTTTGCATCTTTGTTTGCCAATTTAGCAGGAAGGCTGGAGACCTTTTAAAGCTCTCACAGAGCTCTCTGAAGTTTCTACAATGTAAAGTTGAGGTAAATTCCACCCTCAGATAAGCATACATTGAAAGTTGAGTCATGAAAATGGAAAAACCCGGGGACCATTATGGGAGTCACAAAATATATAAAGACAAAAAACTTGCTACTTCTGCATTTCACAGACTTAAGAAATTTTCACAAAGTAAAAAGGCTATATTTCAATATATTCTGCAATTATTATTTCTCTGAAGTTTTTAAAAAATAGTCTTTCCTATGAGTAGACAGGGCTGTACATACACATTCTCCACAATCTAAAATCAAATATGGCTGTAATATTAGGCCATCAGCCTCTAATATGCTTAAAAGCACCTCCTAGCCTAAAAGAAAGATGAGGAAACCTATCTTACTTCATCTTCATAAAAACCCCATCTAAATTCATAAGCAGATATTTGATGTTCAAGGTTAAGTTAGCTACAATTTTAAAGGACTGCCTTTTAAGTTGATACCTTTGAAATGCTGGGAGAATGGCCACAATAAAAGTGATATTAAAAGTTAGCAGCCGGGGATGTTTTAAACTGACTCCAAAGTTAAGTTTCTAAAAGCAGGGGTCATAATATTTCACTAGGAGAGGCAAGCAACAGTCAGTATTTGCATTTGAAATATGCTCTTTGAGATAGTTGATGTGCTTCATACAGCCCTTAAAAATCACCCACATTAGGAAATGTGTCTAGGCTTCTCATTCAAAGACAGTCAGTTCTTTCTTCACAGTTGTTTTAGAGATTGGTCTTTTCTAATAATATCAAAACAAGGAGGAAAATATTTATGAAAAAGAAACACAACTTCAAATATTTTCCATGGCGCCAGAGAATAGTGGAACGGAAAGGGCTTGGGGCAGGGTCGGGGATAGGAAGGAGAAAACTCCTTATTTTAGTCCAAACATGCTCATCCTGTGGGAAATACATCTTTATGCCTGCCTAGTTTCCGGCACTGAGTCTATAGCTTTCTCTTTTGGTTTATGCCTTCCCGAGGCCCCTGGAGAATGTTCACAAAATGCATTCTTCCAGCTCTTGCACGATTATGTATAAAAGGCACAGCTATGCGAGCAGTGCATTCCAACACCCAACATGTGACTTCTTCTTTTAAAAAGTTTATTTTTTAGATTAGATTTAACACAATGGTACAAAATAATCCCAGCAGGTGCTTTAGAAAGACTGAATCCATTGAGGAGAAGAGTTAAAAGGGAGGGAAAAAAAGATACTCTCACATAGTTTTGTTTAGTTTGCTTTTTTTACTTTTTCTTTTGAAGTCCCACCAAGCAATGTTTTGCTTTGGATGAGGACATAGGATTAAAATTGGATGAGTTCCCTAGGGCCACCAGGGAACTGGCAGAAATTCTTCTCTGAATGCAGACAATGGCAATATATTATACTTGTTCTGACCCAACTCTGTGACCTGGCTGGGCTAATGATTTCTTTTCCCTTAGTCATATTTCTATGAAGGAATATTCATCATATTGTAAGGGTTCTGTGCTCTTCAGAGCCAAAAGTTTATTCAGCTTCTCCAAGGTTTGGTGAAGACTTTTTCTTATTCAACTGTGAGGACTTGGATTACTCACAGGGCAGGTTCTCTGGGACAACACTGGTCTTGCTGCTTTTATGAGCAGGCTAACAGGCTGGCCAGTCAGTCTGATGACAATGACTGCACCACTTCTGTCTGTTCCATTTACAATGCCCCTACTTGTATGTGTGTGTGTATGTGTGTGTGTATGTGTGTGTGTGTGCGTGTGTGTAACACTGTTGTCCTGACAGCAATGTAGGGAGCAATGGCTCATCTCCAGTTCCACATTTATAATTGTACAGCCCAGTCTTGTTATTATATCCGGAAAGATGGAGCAGTCCAACAGGCAGGGGTCGCATTTGGAAAGTGAATAAATGCTCCTCTATTGGGGAAATCTCTTTGCTTCCACCTTAGGCTATCTACATCCAGATAATTACTTCTCTAGAACTTCAAACCAGCAGAGTATTTTTTCTAGACCGGGTTTCTTTTTTCTAAGACTGATGGTCATGGATTAATAAACAGATTATTTCCACCTCTCCACAAAGCATTCAGGTTGTAGAACAACCACTTATAAAAACACAGTAACTTATATGTCCCCTGTGTTAACCACTTGTATCAGAGAACATCCCATTTAAAATCCTGAACTTTTTTTACTTTTGCATACTGTGATGGAACCCTCGAAAGTATAAGGAAATCAATGGTTTCTAGCTTCTTAAAATGGGGAGTAGACATGAAGATTACGTGGAAGTAGAAATAAAGCACGTAAATCCCTTTTACCCTGTAAACAGAATATCATTTTGGGTTCAGCACCAATCAAATTCAATATTAATAAGATAATTAAAACTGAAAAGTCTTTATACATGGAGAAATCTGTCAGCTCTCCAAAGCCTCAGAAGTGGAGAAAATTGGCTCTACATCAAGCAGGTGACCTGAATATTCAGTGCTGGTTCCAGAAGAGAGGAAGGCAGAAATATTTTAAGATTCCGTGGGAACAGACGCATAATACTCACAGGCAAAAGAAACTTCATTCAACAGAATTAATCAAATCTCCCTTGTGAGAATCTTCACATTCCACATTCCTGACCAAGCACTGAAGAGGCTCCCAGCGCCTGACTGTAGCTGAAAGATTTCTCTACCTTCCTGATCTGCTCTGGAGGCTCCCAGCGACCCTCACACTAGTTTGGCTGCTGCCCCAGGGCGTGGAGCTGTGATCCAGGCTGAATAGCCACAAAAGAGTTGATTCTGCTTCTAACCCTGTAATCATACTCAGTTCTTTTCTCTGCCCAGCACCACATTGTGCTTTGGACAAAAGTAAAAGGACTTCAAAAGCATTGAGTGATTGAAAACTAATGCTTACACACAATGGCTGTAAAAATATTTGGGAAACATACAAATATTTTATCCTGATCTCCTTAGAGCAACAATCTTCTAACGACTTTCAACATATTTTGCTTCAAAGCCATGCAAAAACGTGATGTTGCCATAGTCTCTTAATTCTCCTCTAATGCAGTACTTCATTAATTCAGTGAGATTAACAGGGTACCACTCTATTTACTTTTTAAATATATCTTTAGAGTCCCTGCATTACTGAAGGTGAGATTTTAAAAACTAAAGAAACGATAGGAAATTAAATTTGTGTTAGGAATTTATATAATGCTTGAGCTAGTGAAGTTTCCTGTTATTATTTCGTGACTCATAAAACATTCTCACAGCTGAAGCCATATTAGTTTTATAAATACACTTATTAAATTGCCAAAGAAAGTTAATCTTGTTATAACGACTTTGATGTTGAAGTACTGTATTACCTTTGTACCTAGTGGGCTTTCTTGAAATAGTTATCTCAACTAAGTCACACTAGGTCAATAAAATTTAGGAAAAGTTCCATTCTCAGGCATGACTATTATTATTCAAGCTACTGAACAATGCAAGTCTTAAGTATAATATTCTATGTCTTAACCCAAACAGTAGCTATTACAGATGGATATTCTTCAAAGGAAATATGTCTCTATTTTGATCATCTTTGTGGCATATTTTAGTTTTCAAATATCAGGGAAATTTTAAGAAAGTTTTAAAATATTACACATGACCTGGTACAGGTAGTTTTTATTATCTTTGTTTCTTATTTCCTGCATTCAGAGCACCATTTTAATCTGCTGGGAATGTCTTTTTTCTTTCCTGAATTACTTCTTCCTCATGGGAAGTAGGAAAAAAAGCACTCATCGCTCTTTATAAATATACTTAGAGCTTCACTTAGACCTTTTGACAAGCTAAGGACTAATTTCTAGGATCTAAAGACACTATTTTGTCCTTACTGCTACATAATTTTATGTACATATATATGCATGCATGCATGCATGCATGCATGCTTTTATTTGGGGGATGCTAGGTTTTGAACCCAGGGAGAATGAAGTTACTTCCCCAGACCTTTCTCAGAATTTGAGCCAAAGACTCATTATGTTGCCCAGGCTGCCCTAGAACTTGTAATCATCCTGACTCAGCCTCTCTCCTGTGTAGCTGGGATTGCGGGTGTGCACCACCATGCCCAGCTACTGATGCATAAGTGTGATTTATACTAGCTCTTAAAACCCAGAATTTATGTTTTGTTACTGTTTTGTTTTGTTTTGTGTGGATTTTTAATATGTTTTGTTTTGTTTTGAGACAAAATCTGACTATGTAGTTTAGACTGACCTTGAACTCACTACGTAGCACAGACTGGCCTCAACCTCAGTTATCCACCTGCCTCAGTCTCTTGAGTTCAGTAATAACTGTGCAAGCGCACACCACCACGCCTGACCACGCATTTGTTTTTATGACATTAAACTAAATCCAGCAGTCAATTCATTGTGTTGGACTCATAAAACGGTATCCCAAACCCTAGTGCCTTGGCATAATGAGTATTTTGAACTAGTGGGAACTGTAGGACCTCAGAAGCAAGATCTATGTGAAGATCTTCTGCCTTTATTTCTGTTCCTCTCTCTTCCTGTCCAAGGCAAGCCATTAAAAATATGATTCTTCTTCCCAAAGATTCATAAGAACTAGACACTCTCTCCTTGAAAGCAAGCCATAAATTCTACAAATATAGTCCAACTTTCTGTCTTTCTGTGTGGGAGCTGGTCATGAAGAACTCCTCTGATCTACCTAGTCTGATAGTAGTTATAAGACCTTTGATCCTGAGGAGTCCTGCCCCAGACCTGGAGGAAGGGATGCTACACAGAAAATCCAAGAGTTTAAACATACTCACCTTGCTGGATTTCCCCTCTTACTGATTACCATTACTTCTTATCTATTACCATTCCTTTTGTTCATAAAAATAGAAAGTTTTCCCTGGGATGCTGGGACATCTTTTCTGAGGATTTCCATGTCATGCAAATTTATGATGAAATGCATTTGTTACTCTTGTCTCTTGTTACTCTGTCTTTTGTTACATGAATGTCAGCTCTGACCCTTTTCATGGGTGAGGAAAAGTATCACAGCTTTCCAACCTTATAACATCAGGTTTGCATTCAGTTGTGAGCACAGAAAGTGGCCTGGTAGAGGGGCTACCCCATATTTCCCATTTCAAGTACTGCATGTTACACTGGATTATAGCTAATCGCATTTCCCTAGCACCTTGCTTTATACTTAAGCAAATACTTCAAGGAATTAATACATCACTCAAAGTACTAGATCTACACATAACTTACCAGCCAGCATACGCATACATTCCATAATAAAAAGCCAACGGCAACCCTATAATATTCGCGTCTCTTCCAGAAAAGGGGTCTTTAAAATGCTGTGTTTGCCCTGCAATTAGAATGCAAAAAATTTAGAGCTTTCCTAGAGAGCCAGTTATTATTCACTCTAACCATTAACACAGGAATCAGAGAATAAAGCAGAACTGTTTTGAGTCTATATTTCTTACTCTCTACTCACTAGCAGATTTATATATTAATACTCTACCCATCCTAGAGAAAAAGTTCCAAAATATACTGATCACTAGGCATCTTATTTCACATTTGTCTTTTAATAAAGTTACACCTAAAATGAAAATAGCATTTTAAAAACAAGCCCTCACTGGAGCACACCTCTACTCTGGCCACAAAAGCAGCTGGTCACTCATAGATAAAATAAAATTGACTCTGTCCCAGGAAGGGCACAGTTTTCTTCTTGAAACATTAAAGAGAAATTACACTGAATTCTAAACTACATCTTAATAAATTTTGCACCTAATGTGGATTGAACAACCTTGTTCACGTTTTTTTCTTTGTTTTGTGTATGGCAGTGGAGTTTTTGCTTGTATATGTTTTGGATAGTTTTAAAAGTTAGAGATCAGATCTACTAAGCCAATATTCAAACTTTAGCAAAAAAGAGGTCTCCATTTCCCAAGGAGAGCAACAAATGAAATTGCCCAAATCAGAAATAACTTCATTGTGTACTTGGTCAACAGAGGAAGGATAGAAGCTAGATAGGACAGAAACCAGCTGATGTGTATGGTCGACAGTGTCTCCCAAGTCAAATCTCAGCTGCTGCCTTCATTACCAAGTGCAACATTTACAGAGAGTACAGGAACCCAAAACTGGAGAATGTTGAGTTTTTCCTTCAAAGTAGGATTTCCAAATATGTATAGTTCACTTTTTAAAATGATACAGTGAGTCAGGAATGCCTGCTTTATTCAAATATCTCTTTGTCCCTATAGAAGGAAAACATGAATACTGGTCTTCGGATAAAACCATCTCTTGAGTATTCTTTTATCATAATTGTGGTCTCCTTGGCCTAAGGGACAGTATTCCTCAGGGAGCAGCACTGAATAATCAATAAGGGAAAAGAAAAAATAATCTTTGTGAAGACTGAGTCAAAAGCACAGATCTTCAAAAATGCCATTCTTCAAGTAATACGAAAGAGAAGCAGTTTATTCCGAAACCTCAGGGATACTGTGGCCGTATAGCGGAGGTCCCAGGAAGATGTGAAAGTCTAATGTTCAAAGAAAAGTTCAACACATATTCATAAGCAAGTGCACAGCATTATCAGGATCTAATTAGAGTAGAAATGGATGTGCAAGATAGATTAGTGAAGTCTTTCTCTTCCTGGAATCTCGGATTAATATAGAAAATATGTGATCACGTTACAAAGAAAACTATAATTTTATCTCATTTTGTACTAAGAGAACAAAAATATCTACTACAATGCTCTCCAAAATATTAAAATTTACTTTTTATGTGCCAATATACTCAGTGAACTTCCCTGTTGGGTGAGATCTAAGAAGGAACCTGGCCACCCTAAGCACTGACCTCATAAGTATTAATTAAGGGCCACTCTATTGTAACTGCCCAAGGATCCAAGACCTACATCAAATCAAGATTTTCTTTTGTTTTGTAGAACTTAAAATAGAGTACTTACCATTTGGGCAATCAAATACACCTCATACACATATATAAATCAGTGGTCAGAACTGACTAAGGATTCCAATGCTGTCACCAATGTCTGATATCACATCAAAAAGAAAAATAAAATTTTATCTTACTTTCAGGGGATAGTATATCAATTTTTGGAATCTGAACTAGAACTAAAGAACAGCCAGTGACCCAGAGTTTCTGCAATTTCCAAATACTAAAGAAGGCCTTCACAGAAGACTAAAGACTTAGCCCTAAAAGCGAAAGTACTAAGAGAGTAGATGATTCTGCATACACTCCTGATGAACAAAAGAGAAGCTCAGCGGACCAGCTCTGTGGAGGGCAAGGTGAATTAGAAGAGCAAGCTCCCATCTTCCTTTCAGCGTAAGCCCTCGTGTTCAAACTCTTCATTGTGTCTGTTGCGAGTTGGCTGAGGTTGCTGGATTTGATGAAAGCATTTTGCCAGCAGGGCTGTAAGATCTCCCACTAGGCTTATTAAATGGACAACAGCATCTCCTTTTCCCAGCTACAGAGTGACCGATCTTTCAATGTTTGTTATTGTTTAAAGCCTCTACCAACAGCCATGATTTTGCTGAACTTTGGCATTTCCTTTGCCTTGTTGTAATTCTTTTCCTGCAATGTCATTACATTTCTCTATAAATTCCCTGCCTTCCAACAGACAAAATCAATGTAAACATTAAATACTTAACATGCTCAAGTTATAAGTCACTTCTTTACATTTCTTTCTTTCCTATTATTTCCTACTAGAGTGCCCACTGCCAATTAAATAACTCATGTGGACCTCCTCCAAAAATTTCCATGGAATGCAAGCATTCACATGCATATCTTTCCTGAAACATCTAGAACTTTAAGTGCCATTGGCCCTCAACTTCTTCTGTTATCAAATAATAAACTCTCTAGGACAAATAATTCCAGAAAAATGATCTATTTTGGTAGAAGTGCAAATTTTATATTGAAAATAATGTAACAATTAAAGTTAAGATTTTGCAGCTGCTTTTATTATGAAATCAATATTTGGAATTTTTTTCTAGGAATGTTATTCCCATATCTGACTACTCTGCTGATGATACCACTCTCAAGGTAAAAGAAATGATAACCAAAACATAATAGGATTGTCAACCATGTCTCATTATTTTCCAGAAATCCTTTTTCTCTTTAAACTTGATTACTACTAGTGAACAATTTTAAAGTAAAAATAAAAGAACATATTCATCTGTAGTGAAGGACTTTTTTAAAAAATAATCTTGGCAGAGTTTTCTCCCACTTTGAGTTTTCACTCCAAGCAATTTATATCAAGAGAATTTACTGAAGCCTTATTTTGTTGCTTGACCCAGGCTTAATCCTCTCGCTGCCTCTCAACTGTAAATACCAACTCACCCTCAATGTAGCAGCCTTTCAAATCAATTAGATGACGGTATGGAGTTTAAGTTCCACAAGCAGAGACTAATTAAGGATTCTGCTGGTACCAGCAAAAGTTAGTGTTAGAAGAGACCAAAAGCAGATACGTATTTTTAAAAGCATTTACTTTTCAGTCCGTACCTTTAATTAGTTGTATAACTCCAGGGACTATAATTATCAGAATTGCTGTGAGCTTGCAAAAGGTTAAGAAAATCTGAATCCGGGCGCTCCAGCTGACACTCATGCTATTTAGGACCATCACTAAAGCTGCAAACAAATAGATGAAGTTATAAAAGGCAAATGCTTGTGGGCACAAAGACATCTTAGGTGCTTATTACTCAAAGTGCAATGTAAAAACCAGCAGTGTTGGCATTGCCTACAAGAGTTTTAGAAATGCAGAATCTCAGGCTCTGCCTCAGACCAGATGAATGCAAATCTACAGTGCAACAGGATTTCCTGGTTATTTTTGTGTACATTATAATTTGACAAGTTTAGACAGTTGTAATTTCTCTCTGTTCTTTGTATATGTCAGTAAGAAAAGACATACATTGTAGTGGCTCTAAGAGGCATATAAAAATATCTTCTAATCAAATGCTGAAGTGGTCACAGACCCTAGCTTCACATGGCAAGTGTTTGCAACCTCAATGATAGTGCACCCACAGGGGCAGAGCATGCTCCAGAAGAAACAAGCAGACAAATTAGCTGGGATCTCATTCTGCCCCCTCAGCATTAGTTTAACCCATGCTTTTCTTTTTGGGTCACTCTCCACTTTTCAATTAACATATGAAAAGTTCACTTTCAACCTGCTTCCAAGGTATGTTTTGAGACATAAGAATTTCTGTGTTAGAATACAAACTGGGCCCAGAGCTAGCTGAATTTCCCATTCTTAATGATGCTGCCCACAGTTTCCCAGGAAGCAGTAACTATTCACACTTCCCACCTCGTGGAACATGAATATGTCAAGTGGAGAAGGGTTACTCATGTCTGTACTGACGGTACCCAGCCCCATGCCTGGCCTGGGTAGACAACTCACACATTTTTGTGTGAATGTGTGAATGAACTGGATCCTCTATTGGAAAATCTAAAGCAGAGGTGAGTGGTGACTCTCTAAAATCTTCTTCCTCTACCCTGTAGAAATGACTGGGGATACCCTAGACAAAGAACTTCAAGTTCATGGAGTTATAACTGTAGGTTTTCCATCTGTAGAATAATAATAGTAGTCCTCATACTGTTCATTGTCTGATATAATCACTAGTTCATTTCAGTATTTGACTACATTGTGTTATCAACACATGTAATGGTAGAAATTTTAACAACGTACACCCTTAAAGAAGGACTAATTAAGATATATCTTATTTGATGGCTTTATACATAATCACTTAAAATCATGATGCAATTAAATATTTATTACATGATATATTATTGACCAACAGTGATGGATGGATAGATAGGTATATAAAGTAGATAGGTAGATAGATAGATAAATAGATAGATAGATGATTGATAGATACATAGATAGATAGACAGACAGATGGACAGAGATAGTAAAAAGAAAGACAGGAAATAAAGACAAAAAGAAAGGAAAAATCCTGAAGGGACAATTACCAAAACACTAACAGCAAGTATCTATACATGATAACATACGAAATAATTTCCAACTCCTGATATTTATTTTTCAGCAATATTTCAATAAATTTTATAATGAACACATAGTGCTTTGGTGGCTGTAGCTGACAGTCACCAAATTTGTTTAGCTGTTCTCACCACAAAACAAATACAGTGGTAACTAAGAATGATATTTGCATTAACTGACTTGCTGTGATAAACACTTTATAAAATATATGCATATTAGACCCTAACATCTTACACCTTAACATCATACAATTTTGTTTGTCAAATATATCTCAACAAAGCTGGAAATGTTTGAAAGAAAGAAATCAAATCATTTTTAAAATATTTAAAATTGGGAAATAAGGGAACCAGCAACCACATAGAAAGTGAAATAAGGGGGTAAGTACAGAAGACTTTTTCAGAGGAGGAGTCAGAAAAACGATTGATGAGGCCAAAGCCCTGACTCAGCTACAGGGAAGGCCAAAGGGAAAGGGAAAATGTTTCATGTATTTTGAAGCTGAAAACATGAAGACAGGTCCACTGTCAACAGCAAAGGGCATTATTTTATCAGGAATGATAAAAATATAAAACTACTTCTCCCTCCTTGAGGGAGTATTGTTACACTGATATAAAGTATTATTATACTGAAAATAGTTTGGAGCAATCCTGCTCTTTCTTCACCACCCTGTGATTCCTTTCTTTCTCTATGCAAATGACTGTGATAAATGAGTCATCATATGTAAATGATTATTTTTTAATTATGGAGGTTCAACTTTGACATGAAAGAGGGGAAATGATCTCATGTGCCCATCAGCCACAGAACAGCATTCCTTTCTTTTAAACAGAGCCCTAAAACCGAAAACACTATCGCTGAAAGTGCTCCAGTGGAAACCGGGCCCCGGGAGAAGTAGGAAGAAGAAAGAGAAAAAGGAAAAGATATAGGCAGACAGAAAGAAAGAGGGAAAAGGGAGGGAGAGCAAAAGGGAGGACATACCCTATTTTAGGAGCATCTGGCCATCTTTATATTTGAAAAGGAAAAAGAGGGTTTGTTATTGCACTAAGAGTGTGTTATACTTACTGAAACAGGGAAAAGTGAATATTTGGGATTTTCTTTTATATTTCATAAAATTTTCTCAAACAAATGGAAGACAAAACAAACCAAATACTGTGAACTGATAACTTCATCTTGCTTCCTCTTCTCCAGCAGAAACAAAAATTCTGGTTAAGACCAATTTTTCTCGAAGGTTTCTCAAAACCTTGCTTCCTCTGAGCACCCAGACATTGCACTCATTATTTGGAGCACCACATTCCAGCTGAGAGGCGCCTGCGTGACCCTGAAGGTGCAGCTTAAGAAGGAGCAGGCAGCCCGTGTGGAGGCACAGGGAGGGCTCTCCAGCGGCTAGAACTGCTGCTTCATCATGTGTCTGTACAGCAGAATTTAAGACTGTGTATGTTGCTTACCCACCAATATTGAAAAGGGATTTGGGACTCACTAAATGCAAGCGCATTCTGAGTTTCTGAAATAAACAGAAACTATGTCTTTGGGTACATACTCCCTCCTAGCTTTGTAATAATAAGAGATTTGAGCCAGTTCTCTGGCCCTAGTTTTACTTCCTTGGAGTAATTGCTAATTTTACACATGAGGAAATAATTACAACAGTTTGGATTTTTTTTTCCTGGCTCAAATTTTTACAAAAATGAAAATATAGGACTGTATAGTTTTTATTTACTTATTTATGATACAGTTTCCTAAGAACTGAAATGCAGCAATGAAAGCTGTATCTATAAATCCTGGGGATAAGAAATACATATTTGAAAGGAGCTGTATTTGAAGGGGATGTTTAGAGGAATGTTAAAGAGTGGTGCTCTGATTTAAAGACTGGCAAGTATTTCTCTCTGCACTGTCCATAATTCAAGTCTGCCTTTGGTTTTTGAAGAGAGAGATTAAAGAGTCTGGATATATTGGGTTTTCACTCAGGTTCAGATTCTTTCTGGCTTCTGATCTGTAGCTGCTTCATGCCAAACTGATAAAATATATGAATGCTGTGGATATATGCTGCATGGTAAGATAAAGTATGTGGTTCTGCTGCTTTTGGCAATAACTGCCTGGGTTCCCTTTATCTTTTTCTTAGAATTCATTTCCTGGATGTATTAATTTCAGAGAGGATGTGTAGCATTAAACACTTTTAAAAGCAGAAAGGTAGTCTATATCTATTACGTCACTACTGGGAATAAAAATGGCAACACTTAAATACATGTAAACCACTATTCGTGGCAAATACTGTGCAAAGACATTACATGGGTAAAGTTATTTAATCCACATAGCTCTGTGACGTCATTATTGTTAGTCTTGTTTTTAAAATAAGCAGCCCAGATTCATAGTACTTGCCTATATTCTAATAGGCAGTAAGTGGGAAGATAAGATTGTAACCTAGATAGTTTAACTCCAGAACACACACTTTGCCATAAATTCATAAGTAAAACAATGAGGAAATAGCTCAAAAAGATATAAACCCAACCTTTCAAACTCATGTCAATGGCCTTGCCTTTCTGTAAAGGTTCATGTTTATCTTGCCTTGGATCTCAGGACACTTTAATTCCACATTTAATTTATCATCCTCTTAAAAGACATAGTTATTGTTTGGCAGTATTTGTATGTTTTAACACTGTGCATATATACCTAGGAATTGGTTGTACTGATAATCTAGTTATAGTCAGTACAAAAGGAGTAGTACACCATGCTTCAGAAAATTCAAACAAAGGCACTCTATATTTGAAATGCTTACATAGAACCAGTTCTAGATTTTTCTTTCATAGAATTTAATGCTAGGAAAAGAGTTTGAAGAAAAGAGAATATAGTAATACATTTGTAGAACCCATCAGTTGGTCTTCATGATGCAATCCAAATTTTATTTTATTTATTCCTCCCCTACTACACCTACATGGTCGGAGAGATAGTATGGAACCCTTACACTCATCCATAGAGAATAATTTAGGAAAGGATTAAAGACTCAAAGAAGCCTCTGAGGCAGCGAACTAGGACTAGATCTCACATTTTATGTAAAGCATTCTTATGTTAATGAGATAGGACAGTAAGATGTGGCAAAACTGGCTGAGGAAGTAGGCTGACCTGTTAACTACAAGATCCCAGACACATTCCCCAAACAGTTCCCCACTCCCTCAGCACTGAGTCTCAAGACTTATATGAAGAACTTCTCATGGGTTTCCTCGAGATTTGGACAGTACAAAAGAGAGGCGCCACAAGCAGAACTTGTTACGGTGGCTTGTCCTTGGGATCTCCCAGTCTGCTTCCTCCAGGGTGTTCTTTTATCATGCTTTTTCCTCTTTTACTCAGCACAAGCTTGCTAGGCAGACCCTGTTTCCTTTTCATTTTTCACTTTTACTTTCTCGAATAAACTTTGTTGCTGTTTTTATGTTTGTTTATTTGTTTCTCAGTTTGTTCAGTTCTTTGTTCAGGACAAGAAGAACCTGGAATCTAATCCACAGGGAGAGGCAAGCAACACAGAACCTGGTGACCGTTAGAAGATGAGCCACTCTTAGAATCAGGCTAGCCAGTAACAGTAATATTGAGTCATTCATCTGTACGTGTATAGAGGATCCAGATTTAAGAGACCAGAACAAAAGCCTGAATGTTTTCAAGTATTGAACATATTTCAGTGTTTAATTAAAGGACAGCATGGTTTCTCATGGAAGATGAAGGCAGTGATTAGACTTTAGAGAGCAATGAAATGTGAATACACAAAATTCTCCAGTAAAATTTCTATCTGTGACCTCTTTACCAAAGTACATAGGATTTCAGCTAAGCGAAAACCTTTCGTATTTATGAATTTGGTAGAAGTGAAGCAGAGTTCTTTTTTTTTTTAATGAAGGTAAATTAGCTTTTAGTTAACTCCTCACCGCACTCTCATCTTTCAAATGGTTTGTTCTATTTTATAAAATTTGACTTTTTCTACGAGATAGCAGGACCCTCCAGGAGTGACTTTTTTCTATACTTAACTAGAGATTTGAAACTCCCTGCTTCCCTCCAGAAACATGGGAAGCAATTCATGCAATTAAACTCTATTTTCTACCTCCCAGTAACCTTCCAACCCTACAGGCAGCAAACCACCCAGAGTCACTTTGAAAAATAAAGGATGTGAGAGATTTGCCCCTAGGTAAATTTCTCTTTCTCTGTCTCCGTTCCCCGCTCTCCCGCCCCCCATTGCTTCACTAAAGCTAGATTCTTCTTAAAGACAGTTTGACTTTCCCAATTAGGCCATTAATTTAAATTACTTCCCATTAAGTCATAAAAAATTTCCCTTTTCTTTTTAAGTGGTTCTGATTGTGGGAACACAGTCCTTTTTCAGAATCTCAAGCTTAGAAAGGGAACATCAACATGTATACACTAATATTATAACTAGTGGCAGAAATAGAAGGAATTGTCCCAGTTCATCCAAGACTTACTTGGGTTCTTTACAAACAGTCCCATCATTAGTTGCCACAGCACATTTTGCAAACATGTTTTGCTGTCCTTTCTCACAACTGCTTTAAGCCTTTGCTTTCAACAGTTTCCATTTAATCACCTAAAATATAAATTTTCCCTTTAAAAGTTTAATGGAATTGGAAAAAGTTAAGTCATCTCCTGTTAGAAAAACAGCAATATCATTGGCCTTCTAATTGCAAGTCTGAAGCAGGCAAAATTTATAGATTTCAGATTTACAAAAAGGATGTACTTAAAAACCTCTGACTAAAGCATTTAATCAATAACTTGTATTATTAATTTCCAGGGTTATCAATATCAATCAGTTATCTTGTCAGCTTTAACATAGTATCTGTGATATGACTGTCTCAGTCATTCAGGGAACAAGAATATGGTGAATATAAAAATGGCCATTAGGGGCTGGGGAATTAGCTCAGAGGCAAAGTGCCTGCCTGGCAAGCGCAAGGTTGTGAGTTCGATTCCTGGTACTGGAAAACAAACAAACAAACAAAAAATGGCCATTAATTCAATCCTTTAGTAGGACACCAGACTGAGAATTTTCTATGGGCAGGGCACTCTTTTAAAGGTCTTAAAAATCTGCCATAGACAGTCTCATTTGTCTATAGTCATTCAAAATAAATTACTTGTTCATAGGCATTTTCCCAATAAATAAACTCAGGCTAAATAAGGTTTAATAATTAGCCAAAGAGCACATAAAACATATGAAAACTAACTTCAAATCCCAGATTTTATGCATCCAGTGAGCTCAGTCCCCCAAAACCCATGGCATTAGATCTGAACATCTTATCAAACAAACCCTACTTCATTATATTTCCCTGCTAGCTGAGAAAACTGAAGATATATGGTCCTCCAAATTTAACAATTACACAACTGTAGATTTTCCTGCTGCAGAAAAAAATTCTTAGATTATTTTCATAAAATCAATCAGTAATACATCATTATTGAACACAAATAACATGCTAGGAGCTATATGAGGGACTGGAAAGACTGCAAATTAAAGGCCATTAGTCTCGTGGAAATTCCAATGATGTTTTCCCACAGGAACATAAATAGCTACCATTTGTATTGTGTTCTTTATAAATTAAAGATGACCCAAAACATTTTCTACATATTATCTCATTTAAAAATCATTTTGTAGTCCCAGCACCTTATAACACTGGAATGATTAATTGAGAAGAACACAGAGGTACAGAATGGCTAAAGGACTTGCTCTTATATCCCTTATCTTCCCTATGTCTGGTATCTGTATATGTGGATTAAGAACAAGATGATTTAAGTAGACATATCATTGTCTCTCTAGAACTTGAAAATGTCTATTCTGGCTAATCTTCTTTGTCTTTTCAGAGACTTCACAGAATAAGTGTATCATGCACATTTAATGGATAAAGTAAGAAATCTAAGATAAATTAAAATAAGTTCAGAAATATAAGTAACCACCATAAGAGATATTCTATATGTAATTCCTAACTTTTTCCTACAATTTAACCACTCACCTCTCTGTCAAAAGTGTATTGTTTTTTATTGTTCTATTGCAACGCTTTAGAATAACATCCTAACCATTTTTCTATGAGCGTGCAATTCAGTCATTCTTATGTAGTTTTCTATTTCTGAGTTGTTAATTAAATGTGAGCATATTGGCTCCTAAGCAATGATTTGATTTGCATGTAGAATTGTTATCCTTTCTCATGACATTCTGGAATTTTTTAAGAAGTTAGAATGAGATTTGGCTTTATATCACTTATATCATTTTGTGCATGTTCCTCTTTTTTTATTTCCACTTTTTTTCAATTTCTAAAATCTGTGTCCATTAATAATAAATGAATCACATTCTAATTTGCAGCCCATGAAGAAAATTTCCCAAGTGAGAAATGTTTAGTTATCAAATCTTAAGCGAAAATTCTTCTCATGGCCCACAGAGATAGCAAAATCTGTGAGAGTGACAGTATTAACACTATAAATTATATGAACACAACACACAGGCCTAACAAATCAATGTAATTCCATGACCATGCACAAGTTGTAATTCAACATATCACTAAGATAGGATAATTTTCAATTTAGAAAAATCACAAAGTAGTTCAGTTTTCATTCTTACTAATCTTCTTCATATACAATCTACTTAATATTTTACCAACACAGTTTTTTGTGTATTTTAAAAGATTGGCCATCATATCTGGTGACCTAATGCAAAACTGGTATGCATTAAAATACCAGAGGCTGTATAAAATCTGTATTCTTTCCATATTTTCCAACACAAATTTGGAACTCTAAGGGAAAAACAACCTCATTTGGTGAACAATACCAGCATGCAAAACCTCCAAGGAAACTCATTTCTCAATAACTGTTGCATTGCTTCCCTCCCTTTCACACTTGTACCTGTAATACTCACTTATGCCTACAGCTGTAATGAGCTTGATTGCAAGTTCAGGAATTTCACATGGCATGAAAAATGGCTCCAGTACATAACGTCCAAATGCCAGGGATATCACAGCAGTAGCTGCAGGGCTGAAAAATGAAAAAGAAAGAAAAATAATAATAATTACAGGAAAAACTGCATAACACTTTCACTAAAATTTTCCTATCATGAGGCATTATTTACTACTTAGCACATGGAATGTGTGTAATAGTAAAGTCTGTAATTTAAAGATTCCATATTTAATTAGGTTGCAATGGACAATCCATATTCATATATATACCCTTTCCATTCACAAGAAAGTTCATAGAACTATCTACTTTCTGATACCTGGCTTCCCTTGCAGCTTCTCTTCCTTCTCATGATTACCTACACCTCTTAATTGATTCTTCGATAATCAGAAACTCAACCACCTCTATGTGTTTCCAACTTTGGCTTGCTGCTACTAGACAGCACCATAAATAGGTTGCCTTTCTACTTTTCCTAGAGGCCTTTTTTCTCTTCTATGAATGAGACTATGTTTCCTGTACTCCATCATTTATAGAAATTTTCACGTGAGTTTCCTTGGAGTTTTTGCATGGTGGTATTGTTCACCAAATGAGGTATAAATCAAAATCTAACCATGTCATTTACCATTTTCAAAACATGTTCTGGATATGTTAATATCCCTCCCTTTGCACTCAAGATTCTATCTGGTCTAAGTTCCCTCTACGTGTTCTGTGGCTTTCTCTCACTAGAATAATCAGAATCCTGTGTCTTCGACTCACTATTTTTAATTCTTTAAGTCTTGGTTCAGTCTTCCTTGGTCCAGAAATGCTTCTCCAACTTTTTGACTGGGTAACATCTCCCAGAGTCTGCCTTTACTGAGCCCTAGCCTCCTGTCTACACTGCTTCTCATGGTGCCAAAGTTATATTCACTTGTGTGATTCTCTGATTGATATCTCTTTTTTTCCAACTAGATTTTGAATTCCGTAAGTCCATCTTAATCATGATTTTATCTCCAGCATTTAGTAAATGTCTCCCAAGAAATAGAAACTCAATACATATTGAATATATGGTGAGTGAGTGAATTTAATTTAATGATTCTTCCTAAGTACTGGGAGTTTTCTTTCCTTGAATGTGCTTTACAGATTATACCTGGCAACAGTGACTTAATCTGAAGGTATAATTTTAACGGAAATATTTAGGTATCCTGCATATAAGTAATAGAAGAGAAACATTAAAATACTTAGATATCTTGCTTCTCTTCAGGTATTTAAAAGATTAACCCCATAATATGAGTTCAGTATGACAAAGGAATATATAAATACAGTTAAAAGCTTTGAGAATCTATCTAGGCAGTTTCTCCTGTTCACACACACACACACACACACACACACACACACACACCATAAAGCATTTCTTTCAAAATTAAAGAAACAATGAGTTATCAACTCTTTGAGAGCAAAACTTGGGATTCATGCAAATTTAGAATTCTTTATCTTGCTATTCACTATTTGATGGCAATATGTGGAATGAATAAATTTATAAATGAGTACAATATCTGTGCAATAGCAAATGGAATGGTTGTGTTTATGACTAATGCCAAGCAATTAGTCAAGGTTACAAATACATGCGTGAAGACAGATTCAAGTATAACACCAAAGTTCAAGAGCCTGACAGGTCAGCACTTTAATTACCTAAATTAGTGCATTATTTGAATGCTGAATGTGTTGCATTCAAAATAGTATAAAATTTCTATCACTTATTAGAAAAGAATGCATACCCAGAATATTTATATACACAGTCACTGGTACAAAGGTTATAAGAAATGTAGGACCTGATCTTATGTCATTGAAAAGCTTGCATTTAACAGGAAAACAGAACACAAACACCTAAAATACTAAATAAAAATACAAGATATTAAGCGCAGTGTAAAATGAGCAACAGAGACTGTTTTTTTTTAGAAGAATTAGAGATGAAAGGTAATTAACTATGAAAAAGATAAGATTTAAATCGACCTTAGAAGTGTATATAAAATTCACATAAGAACAAAAGATACAAAAAAAAAAAAAGAATATAGAAAAAACAAAAGATACATTCCAAGTAGGGAAATCTTAGAAAAGGAATAAAATTCTTCTCCGTCATTGTTTTGTTGTTACAAGTTCTAAGTAACTCAGAATTGTTTGAAATGAGGATAGACTTGACAATGAAATATACACTATTCTCAAGTGCTTTGTGGAAGTAGAGACTCTTAACACGGTAAAAATCATGATTAGTGTCAATGGATACTTATTTGTTCTGTACTTGCCACATTCTGTAAATGACAGAATAAAAGCTCACCCCCGTTCTCAGCTATGTATGTCTAATAAGTTTACAATCAGAGCAAGTTTCCCTAGTTATTTGTATTATATTCTGTAGCTAGAAAGTGCAAGTCACAGTCAGGAAACTACCTAACCTTAAGGGACTGTGCTATTCTTAACTACTTATGTGACCTCATAAATTCATCACAAAACTGAATGAAAATTGCTATTCAGGGTGACTTAGCACAACCTATTGCCAAAAAGATCAGGAAGAGGAACCTTTTACCACAATAAAATCAAAAGATTTTCACAACTCTTGTGCCCTGACGGATTTAATGGGAGGAAGTGAGTCATTTATGGTATGTAAACTTGCTTTTCTTCTTGATAGACTTGATGACATATCAAGTTGTCAGACACAGACATGCCTTAGTCATGAAAATAGAGTAAAGTTAAATGACTTAATGACATAATCTTCAATAAGAGAAAACTCTAATTCTTAGTATTGTTAGTTGTGTCCAGTTAGTCAAAAGGTACAGTTTATCAAGGTAATTTCATGCTTCACATTCTAGAAAAGTTTGAAAAGAGATGTTTCATGTACATTTAATAAAATTATTTACAATTTTAAGTAAGCATGATTCTTAGAAATATAAAACAGAGGACTGGAGACCTGGCAAGCGCAAGGTCCTGAGTTCGATTCCTGGTATCAAAAAAAAGAAATATAAAAGAGAATAACAGGATTAAAGAAAAACTCTTTACAGAGTTTGGCATTGTCGGTGAACCACTGCTAATGATAAAAATTGCACTAAGAATTTTAATCTATAAAAGTATTGTATCACAGATTTTGCGTCCTAAATTATGCATGCTTACAGTTGAGTTGCTTGACATGCACATTTCTAATTGCTTAAAAGTAATCAAGAAGATTCAGAAGAATAATGAAATTAAGGTTTTCTATCTATGTTCTTACCGTATTATAAGCAGTTCCACCCAGACTCGTACAAAGGCTAACAATGGGCCAAAGACTTCTAGGATATATGTGTAGTGACCACCGGATTTCTTTATGCTTGTTCCCAATTCAGCATAAGACAAGGCTCCTGTGAAATGGTTATGATAAGAAGGTATACATTTAATATGCTATCAAGCAATCTTATTGACTTGGCCCCAGGGTATTTATGCTGCATGAAAGGTGACTATTTCCCCTGGTCTGAACAGCATCCTTACTTCAAAACAGCAGTCATCTATTGTTGAGACCCACAAGTTCCTCTCACGATTTCCTTGCATCTGAATTGTAGTTCGTTCTACTTGAACAATGTCATTTTCTTTAAAGTGGTAAACACAAAATTCTAAAACACTATTAAATGTTTCAGATTTTTGAGTTATAAACCAGAAAGCAAAGGGAAAAAGAGAAACATGGATACCAATAATACTGACCTGTTTTTGAGGAACACAAACTCACTTGCTTCTCTTCAGGTATTTAAAAGATTAACCCCATAATATGAGTTCAGTATGACAAATAATTATCCAAAACTGAACTTATTATGTTGAGAAGTCTTCATAAATATGTTTCTCTGACAAATCAAAATATATTCAGAAATGGTGGACTAAATACCATGAAAGGCTTCATTTAATTTGTAGGATACATTTTGACAGCAAGATGAATTCTGACCTATTATCCTGTTTCTGAAAAGGGTACAATGAATGCTGTGCTTTTTGAAAAGAGATAATATACATTAAGTGAAAAGCTACATGTAATACACAGCAATACACTTCATGTGGAAATGGGTAAGCTGTGTAACCTTCCAAGACCTATAAAGTAAAAATTTCAATTTTTGCTTCATAAAAGAAGTTATAAATATGAATGACAGTGATTGCCAAAGCCAAGACTGGGCCTGACACACAACAAGCAGCACATGAAATATAGCTATACTTATTAATCTGAGCAATTAATAATCAAGAAAATGAAAAAGAAATTTAATATCATGTAAAAAGTTCTATACTCTTAAATGTTCAAATCTAACCCACAATTTTTGCCCAAGCTATTTAAGAGACTGTGTATGCAAAGTTATTACTAATCAGTAATAGTTCATATGGGATTGTTCAACACAAATGTAATTTATGTAATTTAGATACTCAGGTAAATCTTAGTAACATTTATCTGATTCTTGAAGCTAGCATTATATATGAGATTTTTTAATTAAAAAAATTCAAAGGTAAAACACTCTAAGACCATACTATAGACTCACCAAGCAAAAGAATCCAAACTCTTCAAAATAGAAATAAAAAGGCTTGTAACTTTTAAATTTCCACAGATGAGTCTAACGTAACGATTGTGCAGATGTATATGTAGGGACCAGTGATACATTTCTTCTACTTATAACTAATTATAATTAGTTACAATTCATCTTATATTGGGAAACAGTCACCATGTTGGTAGACTGTCCAGAAAGAATCTAATATAAAATGTTATTGGACAGAGTCTTAAGTACCTCAGAATTTATTGTCAGACAATCAATACCAACCTCGGTATGATCTGCAGAAGTTTCAGGATGGCCACCCTAGGTGTAAATTGAGTTCTGGGGAATGAGATTTTCATTTAAGGGTCTTAAGCTCCATAACCATTTTACACAGATGAAAAAGTTCAAAAGAGGATATAAAAATCTGTGTATTGATCCTGGTTTTTAAAAAAAGGTTATAAATCAAATAAGCATGCTTCTTCACTTACAGAGGGATTACACTTCAAAAACACCACCATAAATTGAAGATATTGTTAACCACTTAATATATCTAAATTGCTGAATATCATAACATAGACTAGCCTACCTTACACATGCTAGAGCACTTACATCTACCTATAACTAGGCAAAGTCATCTAATATTAAGTTTATTTTATAGTAAAGTGTTGACTATCTTATGTAATTTATTAAATAAATTATTATTATTATTCACCATTGTAAAGTTAAAAGAAAGTCTTAAGTCAAACAACTGCAAGCTGGAAACCATCTATATAGATTCTTGACTCTTAGTCACATAGTTCCAGGGCTTTAATAAAAAAAGTTTACCCCCTTGTATTTTGCTCTTCTTTCCGTTAGGGTTAGGGGTAGGGGTAGGGATTCAAAAGCTACTACTCCTTAAAATGACACTGTCTGGACTACACAGCATTGGGTACCTCTAACTGTTGTAGCACAATTATAAACAATCACACAAACATAAGCTTGAAAATGTATCTGTACCATCTGGCCAACTGCCTCATATTGGATTAGTGTATACATTTCATTACAAGTAGCTAGAAAACAAGTAAGGCAAAGCCAGATACTTGAGCCTGAAAAAGGTTAGCACCATAAATAACTTTACCCTGGAAGTCACAAGTATGATAATATATATTTTTCAGCTTTGTATCTTTGAAAACCTGTACACTTGGGAAACATAAATACATAAACTATACCATGCAGTTAGCAATAATTATTATCACAGCTATATAGAAATTTTGCACATATTCATTTAGTTTTTACTCTTAAGGCAAAACTTAGACTCCTTTAACAGGTTTTACAGTGAGTGTGTAACTTCACACAAGAATTAAAGGACATCTGCTGGGCATGGTTGTCCACACCTGTAACTTAGTATTTGAGAGGCTGTGACAGGGAGACTAC